CAGGAAAGCCAGTGGTATAATTCAGTCTGAATCTAAAGGCCTGAGAATCAGGAAAGTTGCTGGTCTAAGTTTCTTAGTCCAAAGGCAGAAGATGAGATGGCCAGCTCAAGTAGGCAGGAAAAAGGGCAAATCCCCCCTTCCTCTGCCTTTTGTTCTACTCAGGCCTTCAAGGGATTGGACGGTGTCCAATCACATTGGAGAGGGTAATCTACTGAGTTCATAATTCAAATACTAATCTCATCTAGAAACACCCTCACAGACATGCCCAGAAGCAGTGTTTAATCTGGGCACCTCAAATTGGCACATAAAAATTAACCATCACAGGCACTAAAATAATTCGCAAGGCATCTGCAACAGAGGAGCCAAACCTAACTTATTTACATGTATTGTTTTCAAGGTAATTTTCTTTTCAATTCATTTTTAAGCAATCTATGTACTTTTCAAAATACATTTACTACATATTAGAGATCATCTGAGGAAAAGGATGGAATAATGCTTTGTACACAGATCTATTTATATTGGCTGTAGTTTGGAAGATTTAAGTTAAAAGGTGAGTGAAACATTGCGGTAGGCTGTATTCTTGTTCCAAAAATATCCAAACCTGTTATGCCTTACAGTGAGTGTCCCCTTTCGGAGGAATAAGCGTCCCCACCTCTCTGACGTTGGGCTTGGTCAGGTGACTTGCTCTGGTCAATGGCATGTGAGCAGACAGGGCGATTGTCATATCTGAGCAGAATCTTTAAGAGACAAAGAGTGTTTCCACTAACTCTCTGTTCCTTTTGTCATGAAGAACCATGGCCCAGATAGAAGCTGCTCCTTCAGTTTGGGTACTGGAAGGGCAGGACATGCAGAGCAGACTCATAGCTGATTAGCAACTGCCAACATGCAATGTGGGCAAAAAAATGGTTGTTGGGAGTCACTGAGATTGGGATTTTTTTGGTTAATACAGCATGATTTCCTTCAGCAGGCATAAGTTTTAGTACCATATTCTTAAGGTATCTTTTAGTGAACTGTGAATATTCTTAGGTTTTTACCTCATTATTTATAGGTGTCTATGGTGTATGTTAAAAGAATCATTCTTTTGGATTTAAATTGTTTTTTAAAAAATAATTAAGATAGTTTATTTTCTGTAGGGAACATATTTTAGACCTATAAAAAGTAAATATTGAAAACTAACAGAAGTGAAAAGTAGCTTCTATATTTATGATCAGGAATAATATATAGCATTTCCCCCATTTAAAACTATTCTGGAGAGTGGATCAAGATGGGGAGATACCTGCCTCCCCTTTCCACTCCAGATTCCCAGAAATATGAGAAATTTTTCAAGAGAAAATTCATAATAGTGCCAGGAAGCAATAATTATATACGGGCAAGAATTTTCAAAAAAGCTCTGAAAGAATGTAAAAAAGGAGCCCCAAACCTAAAAACATATAGACGAATGCTGCCTCTATATCCCTCTACCTACAGCAGCAACTAGCTCAATCATGTGCCATGTACGGCTTTTCGCACTTCCCCATCTCACTCTCTCTCCCCACTCACTGGCTTCTGCTTCCTGAGATCACCTCCTAGACAAACTACCTATACCCCAGTTTTTGTTTCAAGGTTCTGATATTGGAAGAACCCAAACAGCAGACAAGTCTTAATGTTTTCCTAAGATCTAGGCTCTTACTTCTAACTTCCTTCTCCTTCTCTCTCTATCCCTATTTCTAGATTTCTCTATCTCACTCTCTCAAACTCTTTCTCTCATTCTCTCTCCATAGTCCATTCATCATATTTAATCACAATTAAACTCAACGTCATTGCTTCAAACCTGTCTTTCCAACTTCTCGCTCACCCTTGGGTGATGAACCTTGGGTTCATTCTTGCCTTCTCCTATCACATCTTATATATCTACTTAATCAAGTCCAAATATTTCAACTTATCAGGTTCACTCTCATCCCTTCCACATCCTGCCAATTTCTGCCATATTTTGTTCAGCTCTTATGACCTCTTGTGTGGATATTATAAAAAATTCCAGAATGATAACCCAAGTTCTCCTCTCTCCCCTCTATAATTTATTATCTAATCTTCCTAAAGATCTGGTCATATTATAGCTCCACTCAAAAGGCTTCTGTGGGGAAAAAAAAAAAAAAAGGCTTCAGTAGTATCAATGTCTATACTACAAAATAGAATAAAATGCTCTACAACTTATCTCAACCTATCTTTCCTTGCAACTTCATTCATGTACCCCAAGAGCCTTCCCAGCTAAACCACACTCATCATTCCCTCTGAAAGTGCCATGTTTTACCAGCAATGCCTTTGCTCACTTTGCTCTCTAAACCTGGAAAGCCCTGACCTATCTTTCACCGTGTACAAGAGCTACTTTGGGTCAAATATCACTTCTTCTAAAAAGCTTTCAATGATTCTCCCAAATAGAAATATTATCCCTCTTGTGTTCTCCTTTAGCACTTATATTGTACTTTTCCTGGTGCTCTTATGAATTGTTTTAGAGTATAATTTACATGAAAGGGCATAAATCTTAAGCTTAATGAATTTATATATTTATATAAACTCCTCCCCCCAGATCAAGGTATAGAACATTTCCAACAACCCAGAAGGTTTCTTTGTAACCCCTTCCGGAAGTAATCTCTATTCTGATTCACCATAGATTAGTTTTACTTGTTTTTGAACTTCTTTTAAATGAAGTCATATGGTATGTATTCTTTTGCATCCGGCTTCCTTCGCCCAACATCACGTCTCTGAGATTCATCCAGGTCATGCTAATCAATTGTATTGTTGTTGTTGTTGTTTTAATTGCAAAGTAGTGTTCCATTGCAATGACTATATCATAATTTATTAACCATTCTATTGTAAATGGACATTTCTTAAGTGTTTTGGCTATTACAAATAAAGCTTCCTTAGACATTTTTGTACATGTCTTCTGTTGGACATAGGTACTCATTTTTAATCTCAGTAATAGAATAACTGTGTCACAGGGTATGTGAATGTTCAGCTTTTGAGGTACTAGCAAACATTTTTCCAAAGTGGTTAAATCAATTTAAACCCTAACGGCAATGTAAGAGAGTTTAGCAGCTCGACATTCTTGTCAACACTTTTTATTGTCAGAGAGATTTTTTTTAGCCCTTTTAGTGACTACGCCCTCATTTCTATGTTGAATTACAACCACAGGCAACGACATTTACATAGGGCTTAACAGTTTGCAAACTTTTTAAATGTATAATATCTCAATGCATATTAGCTACAGCCCTATAAGTAAGCAGGGAGAGTCTTATTATTATCCCTACTTTATAGGTGAGGAAGCAAAGGCTCAGAGAGGTCAGGCAGCTTTCCCAGGGCCATAATACAGTATGTGGCAGAGACTCTCAATCCTGTTTATCCACCATGATACATGGTTTATAGTTACTTGGGTACATGTTTTATCTCTACTAGTTTACTAACAGCTCTTTGAAGTTAGGCTTATTTTTAATTTACCACTATGTAAAAAATAAAAAAATAACATTAAATATAAAATTGTAATTCCTCTCTCTATACATAAAAACTTTATAACAATTGGTTATAATAACATAATTAATAAGAAGCACCATCATTTTTATCTGAATCACAAAGGATGGTATTTCAGATCCACAGATCCTCATATATCCAAATATTTAGTTCCACTTAATAACTTTCTCTAAGTGTTAAAGGAGTCAAAATCAATTTAAATAGTCTCTTGAAGGACTATTTTAAATTCATTTATTTTAACTCATACTAAGTAGAGCCAAATGCATCAAAAATATCTGTGTTCTTAACTAAACCAAATTTCAGTTTTATATTTAACACATAAAACACCAAAGTTGGCTTCTTTATATGTGTTGTTTTCCCTTATGTATAAGCTAACAAACATGTGATGGAATAGTAAAGAGAATAAAAGAAATTCCATTATAACTGCATGTCCTACATTCGGCAGCTTTGGGTACTTTATGAAAAAATTATTTGACATTATTTTATCGTTGCCTCTTTGGATTATTTTACTACATTCAAAAGACTGTTATGAGTTGTCAGTAAGTCAGTGGCTATCTGTATCATTGGGCATGTGTTTCAGATGTTACACAGCAAAGCACAACGTAATCCAATTACTTTTTATGTGATCAAAAACCACAGGTGAGACATTTAAGCTATATGACATCCATAGATAGCAAGACCCTGGTGCACCCTACAAATTTCCACTCTTGTTCAAGAATAATGTTACCACATGTTCCGCCCACTCCTAAGTTGAAAGCTTACATGGACATCTCAGAGTATCTACTTTTATTCGTTTACTTATGTTCATCTTTTAAAAAGTGTTCATACAATTTTATGGGCCTATTAAACAAACATTTAACATCTAAAACTCCTCACTTTTGGCCTGTATAAAAATAATAAAAAAGTTTTAAAATACATTTTTGAGTCAGAGATTATAAATATAAATTATAGATAATTGAAGTCATAAAATATACTTTGACCTTCTTTATCAGATATTTCATGTCAAAACTTACTTTTGGTCTGAGAACTTATCTCTGAAGCCAGAGAATATCTTCTGCCTCAATTACTGGAAAGCAAACACAGCTAAGTGTGCACATTCCAAGGTGACCATGCAATTCATTTGTAGCATCCTAGGGAATTTATAGCTCAAGCCTATTGTAAGATATAATAAATTCATAGCATGCTAAAGGTATCTGAGAATCACTGTGATTCACAGGATATGATCAGATACAGGAAATGTGTTTAATATAAGTTTCTGTCTTATATTCAAGGCCAAGTTGATTTTTAGAACAACAACAAAACTAAAAGCTATTCAAGTAAATCATCTAGATATAATCATCCAACAGTTTCCTCATGGAAAAGCATATTATAGATGTTCAACTACAGTCATTTACCTTTTGGTCTTGCTTCCTTTCAATTCTACCACCCAAAATTTCATTTTCAAGTTCAGACATGACCGTTAAAAAAATATCCTGTCCTGCAGTAACAAAGGAACATACCTTTCATGCATGTAGTCAACTCCCAGCAACAGCTGGACAAACCATTCTATTATTTGATCTTCTGGGAAAGTTCTTCCAGCTTCTTTATATTCTTGAATTTTATAGTCCAGATCTCGGCCCTGAAACAAAATAGCATAATTTCTTTTTTTCAGTTAGGATTTTAAAACAAACTCTCTCAACAAATTAATATAAAGCAGTCACTGTTTATCATAAGAAAGTGAGGGCATACTGCTACTTTCTATCACTGACAGAGTCTCTTCTTGACCAAACTCTAGCCAGGCTCCTCTGAGCCCTCTTCTTGACTAGGCCTCAACCTTGTTCTATAAAGACTTGAACAAATACTAACATATTTCTAACAGCTCAAGGCCACACCCTTAGAATGACCCTTAAAGTGCCTACCTGAGAAAACTCACGGCTGCCAAAAGAATTGACTGTTTGTCCCAGTCAGCATCTCAAGATAGGGCCCCTGTCTCCCCTGCTCCTGGAAGAGTAGGAATCTAACTTGTGTATATGCCAGTTAGCAAACCCAGATACACATGGACGAACGTCCTTCCTGCTTTTTGTAATTTTTTATTTCCCTGACTCTGCTCAGACATCCATCCTTCCCTTCCTCCCCCATTCTCCCTCTACATCATCCAGTCACCTCTGCACATATGAGAATGGAGCTCAGCTCTCTTCCCTACTGTCAGTCATTACTGAATAAACTCTATTTTCATCACTTTAAGTAATGTCTGGCTGTGTTTATCTTTAATATCACTCAAAGACAAATCTGTTCTAAAGGGTTTTTATTTTTATTACATTACCTAAATATTACCTAAAAATTTATTCTTATTACATTTCATTACATTATACATTTATATGTACCCATATAAAACTAGGAATAACTTCCCTTATGCTTAGAGCTTTATATAACTATAGAAGCATAACGTGTATATGAATTAAAAATATAAAGCCAATACAATTCAAATTAATGATATTAATTTAATACAAAGTTATGATGTTTTGGTAAAACTAAATCAGTGGGTACATTGTGCTTACAGTGTTGGCTGCTGGAGTATAGACTCTTTTTGGTTTGGCTTGCCTAGACTAATATGTACTTTGAAATGACTTTTTTCTATTTAGCTACAGCAAAACTCTCAGGAATGTAGACTGTTGATTCATGTGAGATCCAAACATATTGCTTAAATATTAAGTCAGTCTCTGTCCTACCACTCACTGGTGATAGGTAAAAAATAATATTAAAAAAATGAATCGTGATCACGAATGACAAACATCTAAAATTGCCTGGCAGAGTATAAGACCCTTTCTGATTATGCTTATATTAATGCATTTTAACTACCATAAAAATGAAAACAAAAAATGTTAAATTCTCTTGGAGAACCCTTATACTTGATGCCTTTTACCTTAAAACACTGAAAACTTAGAGACAATTCAAGAAGTACTCCTCTGAAGAAAATGGGTTAACTGCAACTTGTTTGATCTTTGGGGATGTACACACAGGCCCCATGAAGAGAAAAGAGGCTCATGCCACATCCATAAAGAGAATAAGAGCCAAACATTAAGCTACTCACAGACTATTCCTGACAGAGTCATCATTGTTAGATGCAAAGGAAAAGCATTCACAGGCAATGAAACAATCAAAGAGAAATTACTTCTAAACAAACAACATGAAGTCAACAGAATAACTGATTTGTAATGTGTTTATTTCCTTTTAGTGTAATGTGCACATGTTTGCCTAGCATAGTCTTTCCTTCCACACAGAGCACGACAAGTCAAAATGCTAATCAAACCTTCAACTTGTACCCTTGCTCAAATTCAATTTCCTACTGGATTTTTCTGGGTCAAGGAGATCAAAGCTTGTTGGAATTTACAAATATATCGAATTGAATATTTGACTCCTTGTCAAAAAGATCATCATTTCCTTCTCATTCTCCACACTTCCCTTTATAAGCCCTCTCTTTTTAATCCTAGAGTTTATCAACAATCTGTTGGATCACATAAGCTGTACTGTCATATCGTTACTATAAATTGCACAAATCATTTTTTAACAATAGATTATTATAACATCCTGTGAAGTAGACACAAAAGCCCTTCAGATGAAAGGCAAGCTGTAAATGTATACATTTTCCTTTTCTATCTAAGGGGTCTCTAGCAAAACTTTCTCTCACACAAAAGAGAAAAATAAAATTAAAACAAAAAACAAGATGTCCTTTTAATATCCCATTTAGAGTCTCTGAATGTGATAAAATATCTCCAGTGGCAGAAAGATAATTATCTACATGTTGCTATCTCCTTCCTGAATAGCTTCAGATGAGGGGTCACAGGAAGAAAGAAAGTGGGGAGAGGAGAGAGAGTAGGAGGGAGGGAGGGAGGAATGAAAACAAGGAAAAAGAAAAACTTGCCTTAAAGAATTATCAGTGAAGCTGTCTGCTTCAACCTAATGTTTCATACTTTAGGAAGGTCGTACATGAGTACCATTGTCCCTATAAAAATGGCCTTTGCTTCTGCAGAGCACACTCTTTGGGTCACATTTATTGTCAGTCTGATAATCACCCCCAAGAAGTAAGTAGAAGTTGTTTATCTGTTTCCTGCATTGATATTAAATGTGTGCACAATTTCCTGTGACTAAATAAAAATATGTATTTAGACTATTGAAAAAAATAAGGCCTTTAATAGTAGGTCTCAAATGCAATGTCAAAAGGGTACACAAACTCCCCATTGCTCTCTGGGAGAAGCAGAGAAAGAAGGAATGTATTACTTCTTAGTATTAAGCCAGGGACGTGTTCAATCAAGAAAAAGATAGAACATCAAAAGATTAAATTAAGCAGAGAGCTGGGTCTCATCCTCCTCAAGTTACTTCCTCTACAATTTTCATTTTGCATATTTATCTCCAAGAAAAACTATTTGTTTTGTATTTACTTTGCTCTTTAATAAATACTCGGTAGATTATTTTCTTAGGATTTAATTAAGGTAGTCAAGTCTCTCACACAACAAATTTGCTTTTATATAACAAAGAACTATAATGTTTGTGAAGCAGTCTGATTTTAACTCAGCAATATGAAAAGCACTTACTACTTTCTTTCTCTAAGCCATCTTCCAAGTAAAAATCAAATGTTTTTGATGAAATGTCAGACCTAAGTTTAAAAAGTTCTATTATAATATCTGCATATTGTGTTTCCTTAATTTGTCTTTGAGAAATATTTAATGCTTTTATTGCTAAAACAACTTTAAAGAAGAGTACTGACTTTAATTTGAACTAATATTAATGTTGCTTGACTTAAAGTCTATATCGCTGACAGAAAATGCTTTTCTTCAGTGTTATCACCCCTCGAAAGTTGCAGTAAAAGCCTTGATGTTAACTTTTAAGGTTTCAAAAATCTGTATCTCAAAATGCACCATTGGATGGATTAATGGTAACTCCTTCCCACCCCGTCCCAGTTAGCTAACAGCAGATTGACTTTGAAATGCCAAGACCTTGAAGAAATGAAAAACAATTCAAATACAGTGTCTAAACATCATCTTTGATTACCATTAAAAAGTTTTAAAATCTAAAAGGATTTGATTCTTAAAAATTAATTTGCTTATTTTTAAAGTCATCAACAGAAGCATTTGCAACCAGTTAAAAAGGCCAAAGTGAGCCTTCTCAGAAGCCTGAATAAAATGAAACTACAATGTTCAGAGCATATACAAAGGACAAAATAATCTCAGGATTTCAGAGCTAGAAGGAGCTTGAAAAATTGTTCTGCCCTATTTCATTTTAAAATGAAGAAGTTGCCCCTTATTAATTCATTTGGTTAACATCTTAAAATGCTTTTCCCTCACACTCTATGTCTTCTTCAGATAAGCTTCTGAAACAGCCTTCCAGTGGACCTCAATTGTAGCATGCATCAGAATCATCCAAGTTGCTTGTTTAAAATGTATATTCCCAGGGCATATCAACAGAGCCTCTGATTCAGTAAATCTGGAGAGGACCAAGGAATCCGTTAACAAGCATCCTAAGTGACTCTGGAACAGGTGGTCCATGGACCACACTTTAAGAAAATGCTGCTAGATAACACTACAAATGGACTACATACTTAATATTTCACCCATCAATGGAAACATTTTGTCCAATAGTTTGAAAAATTCCAAAGGCAAAAGACGTACTTGGGAAAGTCGGAGTTGAATCAGAATCATTTCAGAACAAAAAGCCTGTGACATTACTTAGGAGAACGTTAATAAATAGAAGTAGAGGAGTCAGGGGAAGGAGATCCTCTGTCTTTATATTGGAGAACCTGAAGTAGTTCCTTAGAATTTTAGAAGTTCACTGTAATGGAGTACATAAAAAGTGGGAAAAATGTCAAGCCATATATATTATGCTCTTAAAAGCAAAATAAGAAAATCCAGTTTCTAAATAGTTACTAAAGAATGCCACGTAGTTTCATGACATTTATGTCTGATACCATAGATAAGCATTCCTGGGTTTAATTGCTAACTTTTTTTTTCAAATTCTTTTAGAGAAAGTAAGTGTTCTTCCTACTAAGGCAAATGTGCACGAATAAGAATAAAATAGTAGAACTCATTTTTATCTTAAGAAGTGACATGAAATAATGCTTTTCTTTAAATCACTGCATTGTTTTTTAAAACAAGCCATTCTAAGTGGATTATTCTGACCCTATTTTTGAACATTTATATTTATATAAAGTTATATGTCAGTTAAAGCCATACCCCAAACGCAATAAGCTATATTGAGTTTATGAATTGCTTTATATTAGTGCATTGGTAATCTCTTGAGATAACACTTAGTTCCTTCAATCAGCAGCAATTCCAGTAAAGCAAGCCTGATGTGTAGACACAACAGGAAAGACAGTGGTATGGACTGAACGTTTGTGTCCCCAAAATGTATATGTTGAAATCCTAACTCCCAGTGTGATAATATTGAGGTGGGGCAGGGAACTGGGTAATTAAATTATGAGGGTAGAGCCCTCATGAATGGGAATAAAAGAGATCCCAAAGTGCTCCCTAACCCCTTCCACCATATGAGGATACAGCAAGAAAATGGCCTTTCATGAACAAAGATGGCCATTCATGAACCAGGAATCAGGCCTTCACCAGACACTGAATCTTCCAGCACCTCAGT